GGTTGTAATTGTAAATTGTAATATGGGTTTATAAATTTTGCTGGTATAAGTTCTCTCAACAAGCTGCAACTTGTAGGAAGGAGCCAAAACAAATGAAGTCATCCTTTGTTTATCTTTCATTACTTACCATAATTTTTGAATGTAATGTTACATATAAGCTCATTTAAAAGACTGTCGATACAGAAGCAATTCAAAAAACAGGGGCGCATGCGTGTGCTCATGTATATGAATGACTGCACATATATATGAAGCACCTTCAATAAATCAATGGAACAGCATGAAAATGCCTACACAAATAACAAGATTTCAAAAATTTCCGACCCCATCCCGAGGTTAAGGGGCGCACGCGTGTGCTCATAAATGTATGAATGACTGAACAAAACTTCAATGCAAACTGTGACATCTTAATGAAATTTAACAGATAAAGCTAACATCAAAAGGTAATGCAAGAGGGGAAAAGCCTGAACTCGATGAAAGCAAAAAAGAAAATGCATTCATCGGTCCAAAATAGAAGAAAGCAAAAAGATAGAATGCAGGGTAAACAATTAGAAGAACAAAATCCATAACTAGACAACTCCCATCAGTAATGGATATTTCATATAACATCATTAAGCAAGAAAACTCGAAACTTGCAGACAAAGAGGTTTTAATTTAAAGCGCAGAGAGAGAGAGAGAGAGATTACGTACTTTTCTGGCCTCTCAATCTCATGCAATATAGTAAATCAGTGGTATATTTTTCACCCAACAACAAAAACAGACTATTGGCACATTGAAGGACAAGTAGTCCCAAATAACAGGCACAATTGCTTCTTAATATCTGCATTCATTATTCTAGATAACTCTAAATAACATCAAATAATATGGGTATAGAATCATCTAAAATATGAGAGATTCCATTCCACCAAGAGTACCCCAACAATGTAAGTTTGCAACGTAGTAACTTGGATTTAGGATCAAGATTCTTCAATGTAGTTGTTGCCAACTGATACAAGGCTTTCTACATAATTGTATATATTTTGAATAGAGCCACGATAGGGAACAACAAACCTCTTGACTTCATTAGTAGTGAGATTCATCAAATGAACAGTTCTTCCTTTCTTACTAGGCACTGCAGAACCCCCCCGTGTGTAGACAATTTGGTTCCTCCAAATAGTCACCGGATCTAATGTCTTTGAAAAGGGGCTAGTATATATTTTAGTCCAATTCCGTCTCTCCCCAAATGCACATGTACCCTCCTCCATCACCCACAGCCTAATCAAATCAAATCTTTCATTATCCCTACGCCAAATGTCACAAAGTATGGCAAGTTTGTTCCCATAAATAGTAAGCTTTTCATCTCCACTCGTATAGTTTAAATCAGGCCATGGACTCAATGTGAACACTTCCTTTACTATGTCAAATGATACTATCACCTGAGCTATCACCTCAACACCATCTTCACCATCTTCATCTGCATCTAACTTTACCCCAGACCAAAATATGGCTCCATTAGTCGTGACAGCTTCAGAATTAAGTCTCACTCCCTTTAAGTTCCCACTATCTATTCGCTTCCATGACCCTCTACTTAACGAAAATACTTCCGCTCGATCAACTTCATAGTAAAGCTTCGAATAAGTTCTTACTATCTTATAATCATTAACAATTGGACTGAACCCAAATCCTGTCATGCAATCATCCAAGTCAGAAAAAATAATTCTCGGTCTAGGAACATGTCTGACTGCTGTAGTGGCAGGATTCCACAATGAAAGAGAAGGAGGAGATTTATCATGCTGATGGATTTGAACACAAACCAGGCCATTGCAGGAACCGATGATACTAGCACCCCAGAAGGAATCGACCAAAGGTGCTTTCTGAACTAGACGGACTTGCATCCCCCAATCCAGCAAACGCAAGCGCCAGCGCAAAGGACTGCAACTATTATTACAATCGAGAAGAAGAGAAGGGTTTTGATGACTGGACTGTTGAAGGTGGTCCGCAATGAAAGATGGACTTTTTATGAGATTATTCCAGTGTTTACACACACATTGAAATCGGATTAAGGATTCTACCGGAAGTCGTTTGAGAATGTTTAGGATGATTTCTTCAGGAAGATATGGGGGGCGGCTATCCATTTCCATCTGCTTCAGGAATATCGGCTCAAACGCATTTCTCAGAAGAAAGCACTCGCAGTCAACGAAGCACTTTAGGGATTTCAAATTACCATAGTCGAAGGGAGAGACACTTGGGTCGCCAGCTCATCGTCGGTCCTTTCATTTTTCTGAACCAGTCCCAAACTTTTGTTTACGGCCCAAGAACCCAAACTTTGAGTAGATGTTTTTATTTTTGCCTGCATATTATATATTGAGTTCGAAAAAATTTATTTTCTCAAATAATTAAGTCTAAACAAAAATTCAAGCTTTGGTTCAACTTATGCTATGTTTGGGAGAAGGGTTTTGGGGGGGGGGGAATTTACTGTTACTTGTCATCAAAATATTTAGGACAAGTAAATTATTTCTTTCTAGAATTATTAAACTTGTCAAATTTCAAAAGTATAAATTTCAAGTAAACAATACTTCTGATATTTATTGAATTTAAAGTGACCAGCATTTTGAAACAAAGGTAAAATTCCAGCCACCGTCATTTTGAAATGGAAGAATATTTACTACATAAAACATGTATTTGGAACTTTAAGTTCCAATGGACAAAATATAAATATGTTTTCTGTTTTTTTTAAAAAAAAAAAAGTTAAGAACAATGGCAGCAAAACCACTTGACTTCAACCAATGTAAAAGGAAAATACATTAGTTAGGAAAAAAAAAAGAAGAAGAAAGAAATGTAAAATGCAATGTAGAATGAAAAAATTAGAGCCTGTTTGGTTTCTTGTTTTAAAAACAGTTTTTTGTTTTAAAAACAGAAAAACTTGTTTAGCAATTTGTTTTTAGTTGATTGTTTTAAAAAACAAAAAAAAACAATAATATGTTTTTAAAAACTGAAAAATCAAAATAAATTTTAGATTTATTTTTTGTTTTTCCTTTTGTGTTTTTATTTTTTTTGTTTTAAAAAATTCTTTTCTTCTCTACTACCGACTCCTTATTACTACTGGTGATCATTACCACTTGTCAAAGTGTAATTTTTTTATTTTTTGTTCAAATTTGATTTTTAAAAAAATTATTTTCCAAACAACTTTTTTTTGTTTTTTGTTTCTAAAACTTGTTCTTAAAAACAATTTTATAAAATTGTTTGAAAGTAAGAAAACAAAGAACAAAAACAAACAGGCCCTAAACAACTTAACTCAGTCCCTTGTTTTAAAATAGACCTCATCATTTTTTTCAATAACCATTCTTGTAAGTTACAATCCTATGATCAAATTTCCACCTTTTAGTTCAGGGTTAAACTTATTCCGAATCTACATACTTTTAATAAATTTTGGTTTTGATCTTATACTTTTGTTGGAGTTAATTTTCATCCATTATACCATCCAAAATGTTAGTGCTATTATTTTATGAAAACATTGGTTCTGAGTTTAACAACCCTTCACTTATGTGGTACTAATATTGTGAAATAGGCTGGCATGAACTATTGGACTATTAGGTACGCGGATATGGCTTCGTGAAAAGGTCCAATTCCTTATACTTTCAACAGGTATTTTGGTTCCTATGCTTCTTTTTTTCCATTACTTTTTATCCCTATATTATTTTATGCTGTCCGAATTGTTAGTTATTACTCCTTCCGTTCCTTATTATAAGAGACAAATAACCGAATTACGTTGATAAAAAAAGCAGTTAAAATTAGTTAAGAATAATCAATGTGTAAAAAGTATACTTTTTTCTCAAAATTGCCCTCATTAATAAGGAGAGAGAATATGAGAGAGAACAATTAAATTATTAAAAGAAAGAGAAGTGGGAGGGAGAGAGAGTGTGAATTGGAGACAAAATAAATATGGGTAAAATAGGAAATCAACACAAAAAAGTAGAGACAACTTTTAAGTGTCTCTTGTATATAGGAACATGCCATAAGCATCAAATGTCTCTTATAATAAGAAACGGAGAGAGTATAATTTTCTAAAAAATTTAGGCCCGAGCTTAATGGTGCTAACTTAGCATTAATACCTTGTAGCCTAACAAAATTGATTTTACTGAGCCAAATGGATTTTATTAAGGCATGTAATTTATTATCACATTAATTTTTCGTGAAACACAATTTTGAAACGGCAACTTTCCGCTGACCTTGGTTAATGTTAGAATTGTTTTGGATAAATTTGTTTAAAAAAATTAATCATGTTAAACGAGGATAAATTTGGAGCTTCAAATTAAAAATTACAAAATTATTTGTTAAAGGTTTAATGTATCATTAATAATTGATAGTTATCGTTATAGGGGCCATGTGCTAAGTCATAAATTGATATATATATATATATATATATATCAAATTATCGTTATAGGTGCCATGTACTAAGTCATACATTAATATATATATATATATATATATATAAAAACATAACATAAAGCTAACAATGTTCACCTCTTCGTTTTTTTTTTTTACCAGCACAATGTTCACGTCCAATGGAAGGTTCCGCATCTAGTAATGTAGAGGTTTTAAAATATTGAAAGGTAACGCAAGAGGAGGGAACTTGAACTCAACCAAAGCTAAAGGGAAAATGCACTCATTCATTAGTCCAAAACAGAAGAAAGGAAAAATATAGAATGCGAGGTAAACAAATAGAATAACCAGATATCAATGGAGGTTGGGTTTAGTAGAAGGGATCACTCCCTCACCACATAACGAACTAAGATTTGAATCTCACCAGGAGAGGTGATCATATTTAGTGATAACTAACATTAAATAGTATAGGTACGGAATGATCTAAAATATTTTCCAATTGATATGCGGCTCTCCACATAATTGCAAATACTAAACAAACCTTCTTACTTCATTAGTAGCGAGATTTATCATGTATAAACCATTTCTTCCTCCAATTTCACTATCCTCTTATCAGGTTTGTAGAGTACAATTTCATTTCTCTAGACAGTCATTGAATATATCATGCTAAGAAAAGAATGGCTTCTCCGGCATAGAAAGGGGCTGCCTGCATATCTTGCAGTCCAGCTCCATGTCTCCCCAGAAGAATATTTACCCTCATCTAACACCCACAAATCAATCAGATTAGATGTTCCGTCATCGCCTTTCCCAATGTCACAAAGCATGGCAAGTTTGTTCTCATAAGCAGTAAGCTTCATAGGTGTACCATAGTCTAAATGGGGCTTTGGTATCAAAGTAAACACTTCCTTTGCTATGTCAAATGAAACTATCACCCTAACATCATATTCACCCTCCTTAACCTCAATATTGTCTTCACCCGCCTCATATAGACGTAGATCTAACCCAATCCAGAGTATGGATCCATTAGCTGTGACAGTTTCAGAATCAAGTAGCACTCCCTTTAAGTTTCCAACATCTATTGCCTTCCATAACTCTCTACTTATAGAAAACACTTCCACTCGATTAACACAACAATCAGCAACATAAGTTCTTACTATCTTGTAATCATTAACTATTGGGTTGAAACCAAATCCTGTCACCCAATCATCAAAGTTAAAAAAAAATCTGCAGTTATGGATATAGGCAAATCTCTGAAGGTTGTAGTCGCAGGATTCCCAAAGAAAGCGAAGGAGGAGATTTTTTATACTGACTGGTTTCAACACAAAGCAGGCCATTACAGGAATCGACTATCCTTGTACTCGCCAAGGAATTGATGAAAGGTACTTTATCAATTTCACAGACATGCAAACCGCAATCCAGCAAACGCAACGGCCAGCACGAAGGATTATCACTTCTATTCCATTGGAAAAGAAGAAGAGAAGGGTTTTGATGACTGGATTGTTGAAGGTGTTCCGCGATGAAATATGGGTTTTTTACAAGATTTTTCCAATCTTTGCCGGAAGTCGTTTGAGGATGCCTCTGATGATTTCTGGGGGAAGATTTTTTTTTGGCCTGTATTTCTGGGGGAAGATAAGGCGCGTCATTATCCATTCCCATCTGGCTCGGGCGGATTCCACAAAAGAAAAGCACTGTGATCACTGACGCCTGTAGAGTAAATTTTCCGTTCTGAACCAAGCCTAAAACTTTGCTTTTGGGCCCGCCAACCAAAACCAAAAGTGAACATGTTTTGGTTTGACGGAACCTAAAGTGAATACTAATTCAAAATAAAAAAACAACCATTTTAATAATTAATTCCAAATGAGAATTCAGGCTTTAGTTTAACTTAGGAAATATTTATCACAAAATTTTTTAATTTTCTGTTATTCTCGAGTTATTAAACTTGTTAAATTTCAAAAATAAATTTTAAATAAATAATTATAACATTTATTGAATTTATTAAAGTGACCAACAATCATCATCAATCAATCATCAACTTTATACTTGAAATCTTGTGATACCCCATTGAGATGCAAGCGGGTCGGGTCTTGCATTCAAGGTATTTTATTCACCTGCTGATTTTCTTGTTTTGTTCGATAGTCACCTAGTTACTATATCTTTGAAATCTTGTATTAGCCGATTGATAGATGGATCGGGTTTAGAGATAGTAGAGAGAACCGTCCGTATGGATAGATTATTGAGGAGACAAGACATTTGATTATGAAGATTGGGATATTGAGATTGCTCGCATGCTATTAGGAAAGTTTTGAAGTGTGCTAATTGTTTGGCACGAAATGCATATTCAGATATTACGTAGATGAAATTCATACTGCAAGTACTACCATGTTAAAATAATTCTACCATATAATATTTTTATATTTCATACCCCACGTGCAACCCACGGGAGAAGTTTAGTTTGAAACTAAACCAAAGTTCCTGTAAATTGCAAGGAATTGGGTGAGGTTAAAATGTATCTTTGTTATAAATAAATGGGAAAATTGCATTAGCGTCCTAATAAACATAAAATACTATATATACACACATATTAGCACTGCTACTTAATATAAGAGTTAGATAACTAATTTGAAAAGATTAAGAAAATTAGTTAAGTTAATTATTTGTAACAAATATGTGTTGATTTTCTTAAACTACTTTATCTAATTATGTATATTTTAGCTACACTTGGATGGAAATACCTTATAATAAATAGGGATATTTTTGAGAACACATTATAAATTTAAAAGAAAAATAAATTGGGATATTATATTTAGAACCACTAAAAAGCATTTATATTTAGAACCAGAGGTAGTATTCATTGAATTTATTAAAGTACTTTTGCTACATTTATAAATGCGCACACACATACTTTGTTTCTGACCTTTTTTTAATGTATAACGTCAACTATATTTGAGCAAGATAAAAAGATCATATAATATTCTATAAATCAAATCAAATAGTATAAAAGACTAAAAATAAAGTAGGACAAAAGGGGACAATATGGACCAACCAAATGACCCAAACAACTGCCATGCATGTCCTACCAGTGCCTATGAACTTTTGTTCATATCCTAGATAAGAACTTAAAATCTTTGATTAACGCCAACACCATGAGATCACTTTTAAATTGGGACCAATATAATATGAAAGTTTTACCCTATACATCATACCGCAGAATTGAAAGGGAAGGAGGAAAAGAAAGAAAAATTTTTGATGAGTACAATTTAAAAAATTAGCAAAGTGGGGTTATAAAATCTTAATAAAGAGAAGATGTAAGATAAAATAGTAAGTAAATTTAGTTAAAAAATTTTAATCTCACTTTTCTAATTTTTTAAATCAAGTTCATTAAAATTTTCTCTCCCATTTTCTTCTTTCTATTTTCCTCATATTAAACAGACCATAGAGAAAAATTGAATGGGGTCATAACCCAACCATTTATATCCATTCCTATCCATTTTAATACATATTCAAAATAATCATGTACATTTGTTTATATTTAATGTTATTCTGGAACATTAAAAGTTGAGTACTATTTTTTAATGTCTCCTGTTTTCGATGGCTATTGACATTTTTATGTGGTTAAGGATATAATCAGCATTTTCAAATCTGCTGGTACAAATCATCATATCGTACTAGTAATAAGATTTTATATTTATAAAAATCATCTTTGATACTCTTCCACTTTCAATATAAAAATTTCTTTTAAATATGTGAAATTTACTGCACACAATCTCATTTCTCAACAAAGTCACGGGTAGGTAAGTTCTTTAATATACTTAGTAGGCTTAAAAAAAACTAATTTAGTAGAGTCTAAAGGAGACAATTGTATCGATCTAGACTATTTTGTTGATATGCTAAACAAAACTACATGATCTTTGAAGCTCTTCTTATTTTTTTATGCACTATCCAAACTACCATTTTACTTATAGTGATAATGACACCATCAAAATCAAATATGATATTTTCTGACAAATTTCCAAATTATATTTCTTTTTAAGAAGAAAACTTTATGAATAATGAGAACACTTCCACTTAATGAACAAAGACTACTTCATTAATATATTATTTATATTAAGAAAAAAAACAGAAAAAATGATATATTTATTAAAAAAAACTGAAAAAGATGAAAGGATTACATTTCAAGAAAATAGAAGAGATGAGGTGAAAATGATCCAACACCAATATAACTTAATAACTTTATTTTTAAAATTTAATTTCTTTTAAATTATAAAAACCAGTATCAGAGCTTAATAAATGGTATCAGAACATAATTAAAGTCTTAATAAATGCCGATAATGACAATATCATAATAGGATACAATATTCTCTGAGTTTTTAAACTTTACTTCTTATTAGATTTTAGTTATTTTATTCTTTATAAAATTCACTTTATATAATTTAAAAAATTGATTTAATAAATGATATTATAACATAATTAAAACTTCAATGATATATCAAAATATACAATTTTAATTAATTATAAATCAAACTATCTAATTATAAAATCAAAATTTCTCATTGTCAATTATATGAGACATTGATATTACTTAAAATTAAAATTGAAAAATCTAATTATAATTACATTATTTAATAAAATGAAAATTTAAGACTTCAAATATCCAAATAAAAAAATTTAATATAGAATGTTATTAACTGTGTTAATATTTTTTTTTAGAGCCTGTGACTTAAAAAGTAGAACAGACGTGTTAGAGTTGCTAATGAATACAGAGAAAATGGTAGTTACGTCAAGTTGTTATACAAGCTTTTTTTTTTGTGTGTGTTGTTATGTACTTGTGTTAGAAAGCTTTTTCACTTCTATATTGTTATGTCAAATGGTGCTGCAAGTTATGTCTTTTGCCTCTAAGTGATTTTAGTGTTTACATAGCCAATAATATAAATTGAATTCAAATGGTTGGTTTTCTCGTCACTTGCTTTATTGCAAGAAATTTCCGTGAGAGGCACACAATTGTTCTGTTAAAATTTTTTTTGCTGTCTTTTCATTATGTCTACTCTAAAAATATCAATGCTCAGAGACATTAATGATTGAATTGATAAATAGAGGATTGTGGCTCTCTGTAAAATTAAAGTACTAAATATATGCTTTAGGCTAAAGAAAATCATACATAGTGATTCTTAAAAAATATTTTTTTTCAAGTCATAATAAAATTTACAGGCAATTAAAAACTACTAATACATTTTTTATACAGAGATTAAATTTTCACCATATGTGATTTATTACTTTATTTCACTTTCCATAAGTTGAAAGATAAATGTGTAATTTTACTCTCAATCTTTTTAATAGTGCAATTTTATTTTGAACTTTTTTTCTTAGTGTAATTTTATAATTACACCTGAAAAATAAGGTCAGGGCATTTTTACTCTACGTGGTATATAAATATATATTAAAAGAAGATATGAAGTATATAGATTGAAAAATACCAAATAATTAAACTATTTAAAACAAAAAACATACTGAAGTAGCAGTGTAAACAATCGGTTTGTTTTCCGACAAGAAGAGAAAGAAAATAAGAAAATACAGAGGAATTACTCCATAGAATGAATAGAGCAGGGCTGTAAACTCATTGAAAAGAGAAAGAGAAAACACTTTCTTGCTGAGTCTGCAGCCATCCTCATTGCATCTATGAGTATGGCATGTTCATCCCCATATGGCACCGTTTGGATGGAACCCATCCCTTGTTTGTTTGTTTGTTTGTTTTTTTATTTATAATTTTTAATTAATTTTTATTTTTATTTATTTGGGTTAAGTTGGATTTAGTACTCTAAAATATATTTTTTTAAAAATGCCTATTATTTTAAATTAATTAATTTTTAGTGTATTCAGCACTATAAAGTATATTTTCAGGAGTAATTAGTGTTTTAAATTCATTATTTTTAGTGCATTCAGTATTCAAAAATATTTTATTAGCAGTACTTAGTATCCTAAATTAATTAATTTCTAGTTTATCTATCATCCTAAAATATTTTTGTAGCACCTAGTATCTTAAATTAATTAATTAATTAATTTTTAACACAATAGATGAGCAGAGAATGTTCATCCCCAAATAGCAGTGTCTAGGGATGAGGTGCTAACTTTCTTTCTTTCTTTTTTAATTTTAATTTTAATTTTATTAATTTTATTTTTTTTATTCAAATATATTTGTATGTAGTACCTTAAAATATTTTTTAGTAACACTTGGCATTACAAATCAATGAATATTCAGTGCATCTAGAAAATTGTTTTCAGTTAGTATTTTTTCAGTAGCACCTAATATTCTAAATGAATTAATTTTTAGTGCACAGTAACCCAATACCCACTAAAAATTTGTAGTCCATCTGCATGCGCTGAAAATTAATTAATTATAATTTTACAATACTGGGTGCCACAAAAATATATTTCAGGATATTGGATGCACTAAAAATTAGTTAGTTTAGGATAATTAGTGCTGCTGAATTTAAGATATTGATAGCTGATTCATGTTCTCACCTCTATTTTGATATTTTGTGCACTTTGTGGATATATTAACCCTCTGATCCTCTGTTTAATCTAAGATAAATGAAGATGACAAAATGAAAATTTTTTTAATGAATTCAATTTAAAAAAATGACAATTTATTATTTTACAAA